TATACCTACCAAATATTCACCCAAAAGACAAGGTATATATAATGTCTCAAAGGAAGCGTTACAACTTCTGATCAGAAATCTAGTGGCATTTGGGAAACTAGCAAGAGCCAGAAGAAAATTTATAAGAAGGTATGAATTAAAGAGACAAAATTAAGATGAACAAATTCAAAGGATTTACCTTATCCATTCTGTTAGTAAATCTCTGAATTATTAATGAGATAATCCGACAAATGTAATCTACTTAATTATGCCTTACTTCTTACATTTCACTCATCTGAGATGAGGAAACCAAATTGGTCTGTTTCATTTCTTGGTTCTTGTGGGCTACCCAATACCTATTGCCTTCTTTATTCAAACTGGAACTATACTAAACAAAAATGTGTTGTGACAGAAGGTCAGGTTCCCAAAGGAATTTTGATGTCTAAGAGATGCAAATAGGCACCTGGTGAGATTGACAAAAACACCTAAATAGATTAGGTCCCCGCCACCCCTTGAAAGGCACTGCACAGCAATGGTTAAATTACCGGTATATCAAGCCATTTTCACAGATGTTAAAAGCAGTTGTGAAAATATTATGTTTCAAATTAACTGTCATTAAACCCTTGACTTTATTTTTTACAAAACCTCAATCTAAGAACATAAGAACGGCTGTACTGGGTCAGACTAAAGGTCCATCCAGCCCAGTATCCAGTCTACCGATAGTAGCCAATGCCAGGTACCCCAGAGGGAGTGAACCTAACAGGTAATGATCAAGTGATCTCTCTCCTGCCGTCTATCACCACCCTCTGAAAAACAGAGGCTAGGGACACCGTTCCTTACCCATCCTGGCTAATAGCCATTAATGGACTTAAACTCCATGAATTTATCCAGTTCACTTTTAAACCCTGTTATAGTCCTAGCCTTCACAACCTCCTCAGGCAAGGAGTTCCACAGGTTGACTGTGCGCTGTGTGAAGAAGGACTTCCTTTTATTTGTTTTAAACCTGCTGCCCATTAATTTCATTTAGTGGCCCCGAGTTCTTATATTATGGGAACAAGTAAATAGCTTTTCCTTATTCACTTTTTCCACACCACTCATGATTTTATATACCTCTATCATATCCCCCCTTAGTCTCCTCTTTTCCAAGCTGAAAAGTCCTAGCCTCTTTAATCTCTCCTCATATGGGACCCGTTCCAACCCCCTAATCATTTTAGTTTCCCTTCTCTGAACCTTTTCTAATGCCGCTATATCTTTTTTGAGATGAGACCACATCTGTACTCAGTATTCAATCTGGGGCCTTGACTGTGTCGCTTTAACCTCATACTCCAAGGAAAGCACTCAGACACAGAGCGACAATGCATCCTACTCAGGAACATCCATGCATGTGCTTAATTGCTACAATACTTGCATGGGCCCCAATCCAGGAAAGCACATAAGCATGTGCTTAAATCCATTCCTATTCAGGACAGCACTTAATTACTGTCCTAAAAAGGGATGCTTTGTCAAGTGGTGGCCATGGTGTGTGACATCTTAGCACAGTGGGAGGGAAATCCAGAAAATGCTGTACACTCCAGGGGATAAATCCATCAGGGTTCAGTTTGGTTTTGATTTTCAAATCTTGAAGAGTGCTGCAAAGAAATTAACTGAAGAGATTTAAGGAGATGACTCAATGATCAGCTTGTCAGCGCGAGATGTTATATTGTTAAAGTGACCTTCCCCGTTTAATCAGTCATCCACAGAATACCAGGCTGCCTCATCTGCAGGCCAGAGTTTCAGTTCAATTCAGGAATTTCGGCGTGTTTATGTTTTTCCAGTGAAGTAATAAAGGCCCTAGAAGCAGCTGGGCAGGTTGAAGAGCTGGTGCTTCAAAGCCGCTCGTTAGAGTGTAATGACATTTCTGAGACTAAATGTCCATATGAGCAGCAGGCAAAATCCTTGAGTATCTATGGCTTGATATATGGCACCCATCAAGGAGAAGCTGGGGCTGAGGTGCATGCCAGGACTCAACTTGACATCCAACTGTCTGCTCCTAATGGATATAAATTGTTGCCTTTAGCACTGAAAAAGCTGAATAGATACAAATATTACCAATATCTTAAAGGTGTACTGGGCCTTGTTATCCTTGGGTAATTGAGGTTATGTGCAATTGTTCTCTCTTATCGGTCAGTGTCTCTCTTGGCAACATGCTGAAGCAGAAAACTCAAGGATGAATTGCTATAAACTTGGTAAATTTACAGAACCCAGAAATACCGATATGCCGACTGAGGCACTTTGACGGCAAGGTCTGGCCCTCCAAAGCAAATGATCAGCTATGCAGAATAAGAAGCCTATGTACTGCCTTCCAGCTGCCCGCATATTTCCCACTGATATCAGTGGGAGATTTATACTACGTGTACGAGAAAACAGATTCTGATTCTCCTGCTGTTCACACCAAACTAACGTTGGGTCTTCTACCTGGAAAGTTCAGCAAGGACAAAAATATTCCTTGAGCTATGAGATGCTGGTATAGAGCCTAGGATGTTATAGTGTCTAGTACACAGTACTTGGATGGTTTTGGTTAGACCTGAGCAAATAATTATAGGGAAACATTTATACAGTTCATGTTGTCTTTGTTTGTGAGAGGCCTGTGAACAGACAGTGAAATTCTCAAATGGATTCATAACTGTTTCCTAATTTCTTCAGGGAACATTACAATTTGTACTCTTTGGTAATTCCATGTTTCTGTTCCCTTATTGGATGATCTTCTATTTACCTACCAACATCATTGTATATAAAGGCTGTGCTGGTTAGTAGTTACATGTGTCATCCAACCAATGAACAGAAACAGTCCATGTGACTAACCAACAGCAAGTGAATTTCAAAGATGTAATGCTTTGTAATATTCATACTTCATACTGTGTTGGTTGGTTCCATAAGTCACACACTGTTCTTTCTGTTTCCTGATGGAATGGCTTATGTAACCACACAAATCATGTATTTTACAGCTGAATGTACAAAGCAACATTCACTGTCAAGAAATATTCAGGCATTCAAGCTTAAAATTTGTTTTTTGCAAGCATTCTGGCTAATAAAGCTCCAACACTTAAATATCCTTGGAAAGTGCTCACAAAAGGGTTGCAAATATGTCCAATCTCTAATTCACTTTTCAGTTCTAAAGAACAGTCTGACTTTTTTCCCTTATTTGCTCAGCTCTAGTTGCAATGACAATTCTTACCACAATGGGGGACACAGAAGCATTCCATACAAGTCATAACGAGTCAGTGTGTTCACATACACTGCTACTAAAAACTCTCAGCAGATATTAGCCAAAATTACCATGCTGAAATATTAAACATCATTTAAAAAAGATTCAGAAAATTCCAACTCTGTTAAGTGCATTTGAAAATGACACAGGAGTTCACAGACTTCCCTCCTTCCCCCTTTGGCTATCTCAACAAAGATACTGAAGACTAGATGGGCCACAGAGACCGAGCTGCAATATTCATTGCTACAGGTGGCTGCTCCCAGCCAAGACGGGAGCAGACTGGTGGGAGCTAATCCTGCACCATTTCTGCTCCTGCTGTGCATGAGTACAGGACTTTTGTTGCCAGGGCTAAAGATGCTACTTAACCAATTGTTTTAAGTTCGCTGTGAGGGTTAATCAAAACCTTTTACTTTCCAGAAGATTAATGTAACTTCAAAGGTCAATCAAAGCCATGCTCCTCTCCTCACTCTTTTCCTACATACACAAAAAGTTATGTTGATGCTATGAAAATGACCCTTAGATTTCCACCAGCAGATTTTTTAATATGGCACCATTCCTTTCAACCTGCAGCTACTATAAAGAAGACAGATCACCTTTCTTGTGTTTAAAGGCTTTTAAATAGAGAGCAGAATTGATTTTGTCATCTGAAGCAACATTCATTTAGCTTGTCAGCAAGAGGTTGTCAGTAATACTATGCATCTATTTGTTTGTATACAGATGTAAGGACATAATAGATATATTGTTTTGCTATCATTCCGAAAGTTTTAAGTTGAAATTTTCTTTTCCTAGTCATTTCACAAAGATCTGCTTCCTCTCACAGTGAAAAATAATTTTGAAGTCACTTCAGTTAGATTCATCAGCAGTTTAAAAACTCATTTGCTTCAGATAGTTTTCTTTTATAATGTTTATTTTTCCTTCTTACAAATTCTACTTGATGGGACTGAATGTAAGTTAGTGTTTTAGTTCAATGCAACATATCTCACAGATGTATGCAAACACTAAGACATAACACATAATGCTTCTCTTCTACTACGTGCTTATGTTGACACATAAGACTTGCCATATTGAATCAGACCACTGTAGTATCCTGTCTCCAAGTACACTCTGAACCATAGCTGTAGTGGCTCTGATACAGGGCCCTCTGAAGGGATGGGTGGTCGGGGGAGAGGTGATACAAGGATCCAAGGAGTTCTCCTCTCTAAAAGAAAGAGCATTATTTTGCAATGTCATTAGCATTGCTCGCCCTCAGCCTCAGCGAGACCCACATGGGATGGGATGGCAGCGAGCTGGTTGGTTTTCATGCAGGTGATTCCACCAACAATGTGATTGATGTGACAAAATAATCCATCAGCAAAGGCAGCCCCTGGCAGTCCTGATCCTTTCCTTCTGTGCAGGGAGGTCTGCAAATTGCATCCACACGGCCCTGGTGACAGCAAATGTGCTGGGTGACGTGTGTGCTATATATCACTTTCCCCACAGCTTCCTGCATGCTCATTTCACAGGTGTAGCAGGAAGGTTAATGGCTTTCATCGGCTGAGGAGCCAACGCAGACGAATACAAACGGAGGGCAGTTACCTCCCAGCTCAAGTTTACACTCCAGATAAAACAAATTCCTCATTCTAATTCCATTTCCCAAATTCCCAAGAAGAGATTGTAAAGCGTAAGCCATGAAGGGAAAAGTAATTACCTTTTTGTGGCACATTTGCACATCATTTTTATTACTATTCATTCTTTGCATGCATGTCGCTCCTTTCTGATTTATTCTTATGCTTTTCAGGTGGAACAATGTTAATGTTTGCAGATCCTGTTTCTCAAGAGGAAGGTTTAACTCTTTCTGCACACAGCCACATTTCAGCCACCTTGGTAAATGAGAGAGCGGGGGAAACTCTAATACACAGGGAGCTGTGGGGGCTGCCGCTGGCTCAGTGGCTTGACTGTAGATTTCCTCACTGTGCCTAGAGGCAAAACGCACTGGGCTTTCTTCTCAGGAATCGTGCTGGGAGGGCAAAGGGGCTGTCCTGGCATGTGTTTACATCGTGGGGTGGGAAGAAACAGAGAGAAGATCTTATATTCCTTTATTTATGCTGAGGAGATAGGGGAGGGGTGTTGATGGAATGTCCAAGTCACGGAGGGGCAGGAAGGGAGTTGGGGGAAGAACCTAAAGATGCAAGGACATTTTAGTACTCCACAGAGAGTGCTTGCTGCAATCTTAGCATCTGGCCACCGGGCTCATGGTACAAAGTTAGATTCCCCCACCCTTTCCCTGACAGCCAAGTCCAATGTGAACCTGAATCTTTTCCACACAATACAAGTCTAATTAGCATTTTCTTTGTCCTTTGTCATTTTCCCCAGCTGTCCCTGTACTTCCTTGTCATGGCTGGAACTGGAAGCAGGTGGTACTGTGACAACATAAGAAAACCCAGACTCAGGGTAATTTCCTCCCACCTGACGGGAAGCTGGGCATTTCAGATGTCTCACAAGAAAGCATATGGACATCAGGCTTCCAATCTGAATTTGCAAGCCCAGGTAGTTGGGAAAAGGCTTGGAGAAACATCCAAACTCTCACATGTTTGTGCGAACTAAATATCTAACCATCTGAGGTCTCCCCTGTGGTGTATTTAGTCGTGCAACTGTGATGCCTTTGGTTTCTGTATTCTGCACCTTTAAATCTGCAAGGGCTCAGCCGTCTGCAGAGACGGGCAGCCATTTTGTGTTCAAATGACTGTAAGTTGTCAGAGGAGCCATAAACACTGTCTGCCGTCTCATGCAGTCTTTGCTTTCATTCTTTCTGGTGCTTGGGACCTGCTTTTCAAAGATATTTAGGCACCCAAAAATGAGGGTAGGCACTTTGTGGGATTTGCAAAAGTACCTAAGCAGGTTAAGCATCTGCCATTGAAACCAAGGTAATATCAAGCAGGACAGGGGCCTAGCCACATCTTTAGGCACCTGGGTTCCTTGAAAATCCTGGCCCCTAATTTGAAATCAGGCAGGGAGTGTGTCTTTGCTCTAAGTGTCTGGAGAGGCACAACAATCCACAACACAAGCAGTCATTCCGTTTTGCTTGGAGGAGGATCTTTAGGTGAGTATTACCCACTGGAGCACCTCTGTTCAGAAGGTGCGGTCCTGAAACCTCCAATGGTCATGATTCTCCTCTCATGCCGGTTGGACGCGGGTGTGAAATGAAGCAGAGTCGGGCTCAGTACATGTAGGACCATAACAGGCGGTCACTCTGGCTAACCCCAGAACTCCCAGTGTGACATTCTCTTGCATTGCCATATGGTTATCAAAGAATTTTCCTGCCCTCCCACAAATAGCTCCCCCTGCACCTCCGCCCCCACCCGTTCCCGAGGCAGGGCTCTACGTTTGCACCTCCTATCACTGCATTATCAGGCTTTGCAGGCCTGTCAGCAGTGGGGGTCAGGTTTAAGCAACAGTGGCTTATACCAGGAAACATCCTGAGTTAATTCTGAATTCCTGCCATCCAGGGCTTTGAGGAGGTAAAGCTTTTAATGGAAAGAGGAAGTGTAAAATGAAAAGATGGGAGGATTAGAGATACAGTAGGCCAACCACTGTAAGATAAAAGTGAACAGAACAGAGGAGGCAGGAGGCAGTTCATTACGGCTGGGACCACTGCATCTAATTTAGATCAGATAATGGTTATCAGAATGGAAAGCACATATCTTAATCTGCTGTGTATTTTCTATTTTCTTATCAGCGCTACACAAAGGGCATGGGGAACCATGAGAGAAGAGCTGCCTTGATGCTCTTTTACACTTACAAACATGCTCCGAAATGAGCTTCTTTGTATCGTTCCCGGAGACCCTGCCACACGCAGGCACACCTTACAGAGGACGTCTGGTGGAAACTAGGGATTGGTGAGCTGGTTCATATAACAGGAGAACTGACCTGAACCTTCACTCAAGTTCAGATCAGATCCCGAATGAAATCTTGTTGGGATTTCACAAAAAGTTTCAATGACTTTCCCTCCTATTATTTATCATGATTGTTCATTTCTTCACTTCTGGTTTCCAGGTATTATTGGAACCCAAAATGCTGTCATGCTGTTGTATTTCTGGAACTGAAATTCATGGGGGGACCACTGGTTTCCATGAGCTTTCCAGACCAATTTTGCAGACTCAATGTTTGGATAAATATCTGTGCCCAGATTTTCAGAAATACACATGTGCATCTGCACATGCAAAAATGTGTGAGCATTTTCAGACCTGAATGCACTAATTAGCATGTATAGTTATCACGGGTACCTGTGCAGAGGGTTGGTTAAATCTTTTATTAGTCAGTTATGTGCACACTTATCATGACTGCGCACACTGTCGCAGTAACGCACATACAAACAAAATCAGATGTACAGATGTGCACCTATAACTATATGCTACCTTATGTGTGCAATTCCGTTAGGGGGACCTGAACTTTTATCTCAACTGAAAATCAAACCTTTGGAGATTTGCCCTGCACTAACTAAACCACCCATCTTTCCCCAATGTATCCATTACCACCATTGGCTATTACCAAGACATTTTTCTTCAAGGAAAAATTCTAGTGTCGTCAGCCAATTCCTGTTGTCTGATTCATTAATCACAATCCAAGTAGTGAATTGTGGGGGCCTGTAGCAATGCGGCGACTCACTGGCACGGCGCCTCCTGCTGGTCATCCTGGGAATTATCTCTGTCCACTCAGGAGCGCCCTCAGGAGCCGGTGTCTCGCTTGCCGCTGGCTCCGGTGTCCCTCCCGGACCGCCCCTTCTCTCGGGGTTCTTCCCCCTGCAGTACCCCACAGTATCTGGGTCTCTCCTCCCCAGGGATCCCCCAAACCCCTATCCCCACCTTGCCTCAGTCTTTGAATGAGGTATGATGTGGGGGGGATCTGGCAGTAGCCAGACTCCTTGTCCTTGCTGTCACAGCCCACTCCCCTTGCCCCAAGCCATTTCGCTCCGCCGCAACCCCCTCGCAATCCCCGTGCTGCCCTCTGCCTGGGGCACCCACCACACACCTGTTCACCAGGCCACTTGCCCTGTCTCATGTGCAGCCCTCCTGGAAACCCACTCCGCTCGGAAATCTCCAAGAAGTGGGGAAGGGAAACTCTACCCTGCCATCCAAACCCAGGGGTAAGGCTGGAAATGCTGTTCCATTGGGCGTGCTAGCCAGCAGGCTTAATCTGCAGCTTAAATAACATGCTGCCAGCCCAGGACCCTTCTTTGGGGCGCAGGGGACACCTGCACCCCGCTGCCAGAATGCAGTGGGGCATGAGACAGAGCAGTGACTGTGATTCTTTCTTAAAGCCTCTGGAATTTGGGAGCATCCCGGGTTCTGAAAGCCTCATGGGCCTCCTCCCAAATGCCTGCATTTCCCTCTCTTGCTGCCATTCTACGTGGCCCAGGTGCAGATCGGTGAGGACAGCCCTGCACTTGGATTGACAGACACTTGGGCTTTGCGTAAGGGGAGGGGAGGGAGACAGAGCGCTCTTGTTTCTCTGCGGCGCTCTGGTTCGCCAGTGCCCCACAGGGACTGGACAGGGCTCAGCGGTTGTTTTATGAGATGTGTAAAGGCCTCGTAGCAGTGTTTAAGATTGCTCCTGCTGGGATAGAAAGGAGAGCGATGACGATTCGCCCAGAAATCTCAGGGTAGCTCTGGCTTATTCTCTTTAATCGAATAGGCCGCAGCTGTGAAGTGCTAGACTGACAGCCCTGGAGCCAGCCTCTCGCTCCAGCCCCGCCCCAGGTGAGGCCCAGGTCAGGGCAGCCTCTCCCCTGGGCTGCCCAGTCTGCTACAGGGCTCACTTCTCGGGATGCCGTTCAACGCAGCCCCCGACACAGCCCCCGAGGGTGCCAATCAGCCCCGGGATGGGGGTATCTGCAGCAATGGGCCTGCACTGGGACATTTCACACTCAGGGTCCTGATCCAGCCTCAGCCATGAGCCTTGGTTACTGTCGCCTAGAGCCGAGTTCACGCGGACAAAAGGCTGCAGATCCCATTACCAGCCCCAGGAGCATCCCGGGCCTTCAGATCGGCAGTGATGGCGGGACTTGGGTCAGATCCTCAGCTGGTATAAATCAACAGAGCTCTACTGAAATCAATAGAGCCACAAGGAACTGGCCCCTGGACTGTAACTGGTGAGTAGATAAAGCCTCATACAGCAAAGCCCTCGGCAGGGGGCTGAGAGACAGAGCTGCAGCCTAGAACCCAGCCCAGGAAGGTTTTTCCAACCCGGGTCCTCCTGAAGCTGAGATGGTTAAAGCAGCACTTTGAAAAAAAAGAGGCTGAAATGTACTGGAAATAATTCCAGCGTTAAATGTATTCATCTCTGTTTGTTTGTTTGTTTTTAAATTAACATCGGCTATACAATTATTCACTGAACTACAAAGAGATCCCTCTGCTTGACAAGAATTACAGGCGGAATTTCCTCCGCTTTCGGTTATCACAGGAAATGGCATTTCAACATCTTGTCCGCTCAGCGCAGGGGAAAGAATTTTGTACTGTGTGCCGAGACAACAAGAGCCTGATCAAAACATCTCGGGCATCAGCAGGGATCCGCGTGGCATGGGGAATGGGGAGAGGCATTCGCATTCAATTCCTGCCTTGCTGTGAGCTAAACCGCATGCTGCCCCCAAGAGAATGCCATGGGTCAGACACAGGAGTGGGGGGCAGAAATCTGGGCTCTTTTCCCAGCTCTACCACGGTCCACAGCAGTCACTTCTCCTCTCTGCACTTCTGTTTCTCACCCCACCCTGTGTCATGTCCACTGGGGCAGGGGCAGATTATTACGATGCCTGTGGACAGCCCCAGCCCTTTGGAGCCACTCCATACCACCAATAGCGATCTATCTGGCATGGAATAGGACTAGAACGTGCATTGAATCAGAGAAATGTCAGGCTGGAAGGGACCTCGAGAGGTCACCAAGCCCTGCTCCATGATGGAAAGGCCTGAGGGTCCCAGTGTGCAGCCCCTGGGGAGGGGAGGGGGGCCGGAAAGCTACCCTACAGCCTGCTTGGCTTGCATAAAGGAATCCCCAGTTGGTGTAGAGCTGTCGTAGTGTCTCCCAGCCCCAGGCACAGGGAGGGGACATGGCTGGGTGTCCCGAATCGCTGGCCATCCCTGGCTGCTGGAACAGACCCGTGGGCTCACAGGAGCATACCAGCAGCTGGACGCCACACCTGCACCCTGTCCCCTGAGCTGGCTCGTCATGCCCCCCAGTGGTGGTGGCAGAGAGACAGTGTGTGGACACACGCGGATTCCCTGGGTCATGTAGCCAATCAGAGGCACTCGCCAGTTAAAAGCTGGAGTGTGGCTGGGGCAGCAGGAGTAACTCCAGAGTCAGTTTCCTTCCAGCTGTCTGTGTCTCAGTGACAACTACTCCACACTTCAGATAATGACGCTCGGGCGAAGTGCACGTGACCCTGTCGGAGGGTACTGAAAGGCCTCAGGAGAGAGGCGAATTCAGGAGACTCCTGACATCTGTCCTTTCTCCCTGGACGCTAGCAACACCCACTTGCCAGTTCACCTAAGTCCCTTCAGCGCTCCTTTCCTGTAACACTCTGGTGACTCGCACCTTTCATTCCATGCCAGCTGTTGTCCTTCAGCCAAGTGATCCGACAACATGGTTAGAGTTCACACGTCCCAGGATAACTGATGCTGGCTGGCCGTATGCTCGGGAAAGATAAACGTGCACAGAAATGTGCAATGAGCGAAGGGAAATCAAGCTGAAATGCAGCAAGGTGCACTTGAGAGCTGGAAAAGTCAGA